AAAACTCATGAGGCAGAAGTGTCCCAGGACGTGACAAGGCAGACCAGTCGTGCTACCCATGCACGACACCGCCTCACTGAGCAAGGGGGGGGAAAGTGCTAGGAAGCGAGCAGTCCGCACGCGCCAGGGCAGAAGGAAGGGCACGCAGCGCTGGACTCCTCCGCTCGACCCCGCATCCCCCGCTCCCAGCAGGGCCCGAGCTTCAGCGACAGCGCTCCTCTGCGAACCACCGAGCGCCGGGCGCGCGGGCCCCCGGCCGGCCACCTGCACTCCGGCCACCTGCACTCCGGCCTCCGCGTCCGCGCAGCCTCGGGGACGGCCACCTCCGCGCTCCAGCGTTTTGCTTAAAGCTGAGATGAAACGGCCTGGAGGAGCCCGCGGACCCCTCAGGGGTGTCCACGACTGAAGACCAAGCGATTCCGGAGGCAGGAGGGGCTCCCCCAACCCACCCCGCGAGCGAACCCCGGAGCCGCCGCCAGAGGACGAGGGCGATGCGGAAGTGCCCCCGCCGCCCGCCCCCGCCGCCCGCCGCCGCCCCCCGCCGCCCCCGCTCACCACGCGCTGGACGCTCGCCGCCAGGACCCGCGCGGACGCCGACTTCGGGGCCAGTCTCAGCAGCCGCAAGGCCATGGCTTCCCCGTCAGCTCAGGCTCAAGGACCCAAAGGGACGCGGTCGCGACGGGGCCCTCTCCTGCGGCCGGCGCGCCGCTGTGACGTCACGGCCGGGGTGCCCCGCGGCGCCTGTCCGGAACTTTCCAGCGGCGCGTGGGGGCGGGGCCGCGCCGGGACCCTCGGGGGCCTCCGTGGACACCGCGGGCGCGCCTCCCTGCGGGCTGGGCTGAGGGCCCAGGGGAGGGGATCGCAGGGGTGGGGGTCGCAGGGCTGGGGGTCGCAGGGCTGGGGTCGCAGGGCTGCGGTCGCAGGGGAGGGGGTGCCGCAGGCCCGCTGCCCGGCCGCCGACTCCCGCCCGGGTTCTGACCTGCCGCGATGTCGGGGCCGCTGAGGCCGCCCGGGCGTGCAGCGACTTGTGCGCCCAGTCCCAGGTCCACGCCACCCCCTAGAGAACGTCCCCGGGGGACGGGGTGGGACCCCTGCCCCGGGGCGCCGCTCAGGCGCGGGGCCTGGCCAGGACGGCCTGCGTGGTCCCATCGCGGGACCTGCTGTGAACACTCGGAATCGAGTGGAAACAAACAGAAGAGCGCGCCGCAAGCCGGGGACCCGGGCTCTGGGCCCCACGGAGGAACCTCGCCTCCAAGTCGGCCCGCTGTTTGGAACGGTCGTTGTGATCTGTGTGCCTCCAGCTTTTTGTTCTTAACCCCTGAGATGTTCTTAAACTTGGGGTTTCAACTTTTCAGAAATTATCGCGCAATCGTAGAGCAGCGGGGAGGCGGTTGTACAAACTTCCTGTGGATGTTTCTATCATTGAAGAATTGCTTTTTGTCAAAAATATGGATTCCCGGTCCCCAACGCAGGAGGGCCTGATTTTTAGATCGTGGAGAGACCCTGAAATCTATTTAACAAGCTTTCAGCTAACTGATGCAAAGAGTCCGCATGAGAGAAAGACTGTTCTGGACTGCGTTTGACAGCAGCAGGGACCAGGCCCACATCCTTCACTGTGCCCCAGGCCCATGCAGAGCTCCTGACGCATCACAGATGTGCCACGAAGAGAGTTGTATGAACACACATATAACTGGCGGTGTAACCAGATAGCCCCAAATCCTCCGGCCCCACTGAGTCACAGCTTATCTTCAAATGGAAGGACTCGAGGCCTCCCTCCACATCTCTGTATCTCTGGGAAGTCCAGCATATTTTTTCAGTGTTTCTAAGAATTCTGGGAAATGAATGGGGGATGCGAGGGCCGTCTTCAGATTTTCTCATCTCGATCATTATCCATCCTAGCCACATCTGGCCTCCGAAGGTCCAGTTGTCTTTCCCAGCTTTACCCCAGGTGAAGACACAACTTTATCTTATTTTCTAAGGCAAGATTCTAGTGTTTCAATTTTTACTGATGGTATGGGAAAAGGAGAACCATCACCATAGGAAACAGAATATACAACTAAATAATTACCGGACACCACTGTCCTAAGGTTTCTCAAACATTTCCACCAAATGGAATTATTTGTTATCTACCATTACATTTTGGAAATTGGCTCCTTGTGTCGGGCACTTCTCACGCTGCCTCCTCTCCTCTCTGGACATGCTCGTCTGGAACTGGATTCAAAGGCCTCAGGACTGAGGAGGTGGGGCTCCTGGTTGATGGTGCCTGGCTCAGCTGGAGGTGTTGGAGGACTTGTAAATCGAGAGGGACAATGAGCCCCCCTGTGCAGCAAATCTTATACTCAGCAAAACCGTTCTTTGGTGGTTAGTGAGGATGAGGGAAACGAAGGCATTCTCAGGTGATGAAAAATCTAAGATATTTGTCTCCAGCAGACTCTTCCACCCTTTAAAGTTTGACTGAAGGAAGCTTCTCAAACATTCAGAAAATAGCACAAGAAGGCTAGGGCCTTCAGAACAACAGAATAGGTAAAATAGAGGAGAATATAATAAATTATCCCTCACCTACTGAGTTTTTAAAATTATATTTGGTGGTTAAAACAAATATTGTAACATTGTTAATGTAGTGCTCACTGTAGATATAGGAAATATAACAATCACTACATAGAAAATGGGGAGGGTAAAATCACCTAAACGACAGAAATCTGTAATACTTCCCCTGAAGCAGGAAAACATCCACCCAAATAGGTTGTGAGAAGTTACATCTGCATGCTGTAGAGCGGCCACTACGAAAACTGTATATAATGATCTTTCCTGAGACATTATCGCAAATCAAGATGGAACTCCAAAAAAAAATGTACTTTGTCCATTGGAAGGTAAGAAAAAAGGCAGAGAAAACAAGACAAAAAATGGCAGATGTGATTCCCTAATCTGTTAACTGCTTGATAACCTGAATGGTCCTGTACCCATTAAAGAAGTTCAATGTGTAATTTTAACACACACACACCCGCCAAAGAGGATTCCCAGTTCCAGATAATCTCACTAGAAAATTTTAACAAATGCTTAAACAACTTTATACAATCCTGCCCAGAAAAGAGGAGTGAATGCTTTTCAACTTGTTTTATGATACCAAAACCTTACAAAGACAGTATGAAAATAACTTTAAAACCCTATCAACCAATATTTCTCATGAACTTAGATACAAAAATCATTAACAAGTTAGCAAATTGAATACAACACTATATAAAATGAGTAATACACCACAACCCAATGTGATTTATTCAAAAGATGCAGGACTAATCTGGAATTTGAAAATCAACCAATGTAATGCACCCTATCAGCAGAAAGAAGAAAAATCTATGGCCAGAATGCCTGATGCAGTTTTCTGCATCGCTTGACAAAATTAAATATTCCTTTATGATAGAAACAAAATCTGCTCTCAGCAAATAAGGACTAAAGGGGAGCTGCTTCAGCTTGATAAAGCACATGCACAGAAACTGCATCACTGTACTTAATCCTGAAGGACCGAGGGCTTGCTACGTAGGAAACAAGGCAGGGATATCTGCTCTGCCCACTCTTGTTCAACAGAGCCCTGAAAGTTCTAGTAATAACTCATGCAGTAAGGCAAAAAATAAAAAATAAAATTCATAGAGATCAGAAAGAAGTAAAACTGTCTCTTTTTAGTTGAACCTGACTGTTCACATGGAAAATCCAAAGGAATCTACAAAAAATTCCTAGACCTAATGAGTGAGTGCAGCAAGTTTGCAGGATACAATGTCAATATACGAAAATCAACTACATCCCATATACTAACAACAACTAACAGGTGGAAACTGAAATAAAAAATGGAATACCATTTACAGTTTCTTCACAGAAAATATAATACTTAGGTCTAAATCCATACAGAATCTGTACTCTAAAAAGTACAAAACACTGATGAAAAAAATTAAGAAGACCTTAATAATTGGAGAGGCTTACTATGTTCATGGATTGAAAGACTCAACAGAGTAATAAAGTCACTTCTTCCCAAATTGATTTTTAGGTTTAATGGAATTTCTAGCAAAATCTCAGCAAGGTTTTCTTGGAGACATAAGACAGGCTTATTATAAAATTTATATAAAAATATTAAGGCCCTGAAATAGCCACAATAATTTTGAAACAGAATGAAGTGAGAGGAGTCACTCTTCCAGGGTTAAGAATTACTACATAATGATATTAATCAAGACTGTGTGGTATGGAGAAGGGTATGATATTGATAGATACATAGATCAGTTTAACAGAACAGAGGATCCAGAAATAAGCCAACACATATTCTCAATTGATAGAGTTGTGTACCACATAACAACATTTGGTCAATGATGAACTGAGCAGCATATAAAACAGCGTTCCCATAAGATTATAATATTACATTTTTACTTACCTCTTCTCTGTTTAGATACATAAATTGTGGTTGAGCACAACGGCTTGCCCCTGCTGGGAGAGGCAGGACAGGGTTTCTTCCAGCATAATGTATTATGTGTGCATAATACAGTATATGCATTATCTCAGTCTAAATGTATTATGCATGATGTATTATACAGTGTAAATGTATTTGGCATTGTGTATTATACAGTGTTAATGCCTTATGTATTATGAATTTTGGACAGCAATGAGAATGCATGAATTATTGTTACCTGCGAAAACATCAAAGATTCATCAAGCAGCGCAGTGAATGAAAGAAGCTGAAATAACAGGGTACATACTTTATGATTACATGTATAAACCTCTCAAAAACACCAAAGCTAGCATCTGGTTTTGGAAGTCAGGATAGTGGTTCTCGTGGAGCAGGGATAATGACTGGGAGAGGGCATGGAGACAGCTTCTAGTTCTTGATCTGGGAGCTGGTTCCATGAGTATGGTCCTTTTGTGAAAACACATGCAGGTGAAGTCTTATTACTTGTGCACAGTTCTGTAGGTTTGTTTACTTTCATGTAGTTCTGTAGGTTTGTTAAATTTCAGTTAAAAATTAGTTTAAAGAGCCATATATGACGTTGTTTCATCACTACAGATTTTATTTTAGGACACTTAGTTGTCTTACTGTGAAGTTTGACCCAAGGCCTTTTTCAAGGCATCCTTAAATTCCTTGTTCCTCAGGCAGTAGATCAAAGGGTTAATTATTGGCGTGATGACAGTGTACACAGCAGAGATGAGCTTGTTGGAGCTCCGGGAATCAATGGCCTGAGGCCGGACATACATGAAAATCATGGCCATGTAGAAGATGGTGACCACGGCGAGGTGAGAAGCACAGGTGGAGAAGGCTCTCCAGCGGCCGGTGGCCGAGGGAATGTGCAGGACGGCCACGGTGATGTGCCCATATGGCAGCACAGTGGCCAGGAGCGGAAACACCAGGATGATGAAGGCCAGGATGAAATCCACCAGCTCTGCAGTGGAGAAGTCCGTGCAGGCCAGCTTGAGGATGGGGGAGATGTCACAGAAGAAGTGGTTCAAGACGTTGGAGCCACAGAACGTGGCGCTGGAGATAAAATAGACCTTGATCATGGAGACAGTGAAGCCGCTCACAAAGGAGAAGCCCACCAGCTGGAGGCACAGCCCCGGGGTCACCAGGACGTGGTAGCGCAGCGGGTGGCAGATGGCCACGTAGCGGTCGTAGGCCATGGAGGCCAGGAGCACGCACTCAGTACACACCAGGGAGCTGAAGAAGTAGAGCTGCGTCATGCACCCGACAAAAGAGATGCATTTCCGCAGGAGCAGGAAGCCCTCCAGCATCTTGGGGATGATGTCAGACACGTACCAGAGCTCCAGGAAAGACAGGGAGCTCAGAAAGTAGTACATGGGCCTGTGGAGGTGGGTGCTGCTCCAGACAGCGAGGATGACGGCCAGGTTCTCCACCAGGACAAAGAGGTAGGTGAGCAGGAAGACGAGGAAGAGCAGGTACTGCAGCCCCGGGGCCGTGGGGAAGCCCACCAGGATGAAGGTGCTGACCTTGGTGACATTCTCCCCCATCATGCCTCTGTTTGGGAACTGTGGGCCTACAAAACATCAAAGGGCAAGAGGGAAGGGCTGCAGGGCAGCTGGGGTGGAGAGAGGGTAGAGCTGGGCCTGGTTGGGGAGTTTTGGTGCAAAGACAGGCCACATGGCTCCTGAGAACATGGGGTGGGGGGGGCCAAGCACCCCCTGTGTCAAGGATTAACACTGATGATGTAGATTCTAGGTCTCAGAGGCTCTCACACTGTGTCTGGAATACGCCTCCTGCCTCCGCAAGTCTCCCTCATCCATCCCGAAGCTGTGTCCACTTTTCACCAAGGGACCTAGTAACAATGAAGGGCCCACAGGGTGTCCAGCTATCCTGCAGGTGAGGAGCTCTGACCACTTCTGGGTGTATTGTTTGAGTCTGACACGTTCTTTCTAAATTGGTAGATATTTGACTTGCCACCTGTTTTTAGAGTTGATTTTACAAGTGGAGGTGGCAGTATGATGGGGGTGGGGCCCAGGTCCAAGTCAGCCAGACACCAGACCCAGGCACATCCACAGGGGCAGCTGGAGTTCCCCCTTCTTGGGGGTAAGTGGTCACATCCTTATTAGATCTGAGGGGAATGTCAGCAAGGGAGAGACTGCAGTGCAATTCTGGAAGAGAGAAAAACAGATGGCAGCAGAGAGGAGGAAGTCTAGAATGTTCTTGAGGGGCCAATAGGTGAGGGAGAAGCTATCCACCCACCCCTGAGCGTGTATTCTAACAGAAAGTACATCTGTTAATCCTCTCCACAGCCCTGGGAAAAACAAGGCTTACATCTGTCTGTCGAGATGGAAAGTCTGAGACCCATAAAGAAAGGCTCGTGGATCTACCCAGGGTCAGGGCAGTGCCAGGATGAAGACTCAAGTCTTCTAACGCCAAGACCACTGCTCTCCCAATGCGGTTTCAGCAGAAGCAGCGAACCCATGTGAGGGAGGGCTAGAACATGGAACTATGAAGATGCACAGATTCAGTTGTTGGTTGCCCAGTGACACTACACTAACAGGCAATGAAAATGAAAAGTCACAAAATAAATAGTATTATTCAGAAGAAAAGGGGTCTGCCTTTTCTTCTGAATAATACTATTTATTTTTTTTTAATAAGACCCCTCAGAGGGAAATACGGGGCTAGAGGGCACACACTGCTTTCCGGAGCCTAAAGCAAACATTTAGATTATTAAGCAAAAGACTTGGAAGCAGCCTATATTTTTCATCAGTAAGAGATGGGTTAAGTCATGTCACATCTGCGTTATGAACACTGAGGTCACTGAAAAGAAGGGGCAGGTCCATCTGTAGACATGGAGTGGTTTCCAAGGTCCGTAGCTACAGTTTTAAATGTTCAAAACAGCTAGGATAGCATGCCTCCGCTCATTCAAGTAAAAGTATGTGACTAGGGCAGATGACCTGTGATGGTCACACAAGGTGCTGGGGACACTCACTGTCCCTGAGGGGGAGAGCAGGTCACCAAAACACAGACGGCAGGGAAATGTTTTTGTGGCAACCCGTTTTCTATCTTCCGAATTTTGTTTCACTTGAATGTATTAATTACTCAAACTAGTGATCCATTACTTATTTTTAGATTATTAAATTCTCCTTTAAAAAGAAAAAGTTATGCATTGGATTAAAAATTCAATAAGTCAGCATTTCCCCAGACCGCAGTTCCAAATCCACACTGAAAAACACTTAGATTAAATGACCGAATGAGCATAAAGCTTATTGTGCAGTATGCCATGTGCCCTTCAAATGACAAAAGTTTCCATGATGATATTGCACAGAATAATGAAAACAGAGGACGGAGGTGAAACTACAGAGTAATATCAACAGACATTTTCTTCCCCAAGTAGTTGAGAAATTGAAATACAGAAAACAGAAAATAAAGGTGAAACAGATATACTGACGGCATCTATTAGAGCATGGATCAGTAGCTAAATGATTAAGAATGTAAATGAGTAATAGGAATTTAACAGATCTTTAAAGAAAAGCACATAGGAAGCGTGGGGAGTCGTGTTGGCATGCAGTACGGACTCCATAATGGTAGCAATATGGTGCATAGGAGTTACATTAATGAGATCTAATAAAACAGCTTTCTTTTAAATACACTGATGAAACACAAAACGAGTTTAAACCACTGTAGTGTATGTCATACAACTGCATAAAGTGCAGTCCCTGGCCCTTTGCTCACATCCTTTCTTGCACCTGGAATGTCCCCCAGCCCCGCCCCCACTCTAGCTGCTTCTGCCGTGACCACCCTCTGGGCTTCCATCACCCCACACTCACCCGCATCTCCTCACTCTCTCCTGGTTGAACTTGCTGTGCTCATGAGGGAGGAGGGATGTGTGCTGGGTACCAGTGGACTGGATGGCTGATGGAAGCTCTCTATTTGGGAGGTGCCTGTGAAGCACCTCTTGCTGCCCACCACCTGGGCTGCATGCTTCTGAGGATGGGAGCTATGCCCCTCTCACCACTGACCAAGGCACCAAGACTACTTCCCACCATGCCGTAGAAACTCCACAAGCCGTAGGGGAATGCATGTCGATGGGAAACTTAAGGAGTGACAAGGGTCTGCCCAAAATAACATGGTGCAGCAAAAGCTGGCCGACTGGGTGAGGGCAAGCGCATGTTTCACCACCAAACTACCTGCTCCCTCTCCTCTCTCCTCTTCATCCTCAAATCTCAGATCTTGAAAGAAAGAAAGAAATTACATATAAAATATAAAACTAGAGGGCGACCTTCATGATACAAAAAGCTAGTGAAGAAAGGCGGCCCAGAGCCAAGAGTCTTTGAGGATGTCACCAACATTCCTGCCCATGGGAGGGAAGAAAGTGCCCAGAAAGCCTCACCAGGGTGCCCAGAGAGCTCTGTGGCCCAGAGGACACGGATAGTGGGAATGTGGATCTCACAGTCCTCTGGGTCAGCAGGGAGGTGGGCTGAGGCTGGGTGTGAGTGGGCTGTGTGGCTGACGGAAGCTCTATTTGGAAGTCCTTTTGTCACTACAGATCAGCAAAATTCAAGAAGGGTGGAGGCCACAGGCCAGGGAGCTTGGTGGCTATAAACAGAGTAAGGATCTCAGCATTGCCACGTACCTGGGAGACCATGGCTAATTTTGGAACTTCAGGGAAAAATAGCCCTAAAGGCATCAGCCAGAATAAAACAGATTTTTTTCATATATAAAATAGAAGATCAGTAGGGTTTGCTTTAGCTTTCATCAAACACTGAAGAGTCCAGAAAACAGCAGAGAAACCTCTAGAGAGAGCTAGAGGGCATGAAACTCAAAAAGAACACTAAAGGCATCCAGCCAAAGTGAAACATTTTTTTTATAAAATAGGAGATCAGCTGGGTTAACTTTAGTTTTCATAAAAAAAAAAAAAAAAAAAAGAAAGTCCAGAAAACAGCAGAGAAACCTCCAGAGAGGCTGGAGGGAATGAGAGTCCAATGTCATGTCCAGACCCGAAATTATTCATGCCTGAGGGTAATAGAGAGGCAGCCTTTCATAAGCACCTGCTCTGAATGTAGGAGTTTTAAACTCTTCCTCAATATGAAACTCAAAATGTCACAGCTATTAACTTGAGATAAAACGATAATCCCCAACCAAGACTATCACAGCATAGAAACACTGGCGGTGAAGAAAAACACATCCAAACACGAAATGTTCGGTCCTGGCAAATGTCCAGATAGCTACAAAACAACATGCAAATGTCCCTCCCTGTGATGAGATGATAGATAATGAAACATAGTAATTGTTTGGGGGGAAAAAAAAGAAACTGGATTTAAATACAGTTAAACCCAGTAACTATATTTAAACCAGTTTCTCTTCTTTTTCCAAGCAATTACTGATTATTTAAATGTTTTTCCATGAGGAAAAACTTGGGAGAGGATGAGACAGTAATAAGAAAAATGTGTATTTTGCCTCATTTTCAGATGAGATAATCAAAAGGCTATGTTTCATTCCTGGAGTTTATAGTTAGAGTAATATGAGTTCTTAAACATTTTAATAGTAAATCATGGTTTTTTAAAGGATGTAGATTCCATAAATCTTGAAAGAACACAAAATATAGAAATAAAGGAAATCATAAGAAAGCACCTAAAACTAACGACAACAATGACTGGAGTAGGCAGGAAATCAGCTGTGACAATAAATGTAAATAGGATAAACTCACCTGGGAAAAAGAAAAGACTGCCACGTCATGGAAGAAGAATCTACTGTATTAGGTTGGTGCAAAAGTAATTGCGGTAATATTCCATCTACAAGATGCACAACGAGAAACTTGACTAACGTTGAAATGACAACCATAGGTTCAGATGTAGAGTCAAACAAAAACAAAGCATCGTTGCAGAATTAACATTTGATCAAGTAAAATTTCAGACCTCCTGTTTTATGTATAAACCTTTTGGTGAATAATATATCCTCAACACAGTCAGCAAAAACCTGACTTTAGTATCAGAAGAAATAGGGGCCAGGCGTGGTGGCTCACACCTGTAACCCCAGCACTTTGGGAGGCTGAGGCAGGAGGATCACGTGAGGTCAGGAGTTCGAGACCAGCCTGGCCAACATGGTGAAACCCTAACTCTACTAAAAATGCAAAGCTTAGCCAGACATCATGGCAGGCACTCCAGAGGCTAAGGCACGAGAATCACTTGAACCTGGGAGGGGGAGGTTGCAGCGGGCAGAGGTGGTACCACTGCACTCCAGCCTGGGTGACAGAGCAAGACTCTGTCTCAAAAAGAAAAAGAAGAAGAAGAAGAAATAGAAACCATGTAGCAGCAGCAGACTCTAATACATGCCTCTCACTACTTGACAGGTCTCAAAGGTAAAAACAAATAAGAATGCCGACTATTAGAATAGTATAATTTTTGAAATGTTGATTTCAGGGATAATAAACTCATGAGCCTGAGAAAATATACACCTTTGCTTAGAAAATATGGAGAAATCATCTGCAATGGCATCAAAAAATGTTCCTTCTATCTCCAAAGTAGAATCACAGGTAACACATTTCCCTAAAAACAATGCCATAAAAATCATTTTTTATGAATTAGAAAAAACAATAGAATTGATCGATAGCAGCAAAAACTTGTTCTGAAGTAGGCTTTGAGTTGAGGACAGTAAAACAAATGAAAAGATGAAACTCTAGCGATTTTGATTAACAGGAAAATATGAACATGCAACGCAGTTTTGGAGACTGAAAAAAGAGTCAACTGCAGCCAGAGATCCACCAAACAGCAGGGTAGGGAAGGGTGATGTGTGCTAAGCACCTAGTAACGTGTTCTGTTCAGCATGGGCGATGTGCACTAAGCACCTAGTAACGTGTCCTGTTCAGCGTGGGCGACGTGCACCAAGCACCTAGTACCGTGTCCTGTTCAGCGTGGG